TATTATCCATTAAACATCTTTTATCACTTTTTAAACTTTCATTTTTATCTTCACAAAAACTAAATTTTATCCTAACTATCCAATCATATATAACCAACATAACAATTTTTGTTGCAACTACCAATAGGTTTAAATATCCAAACTTTTTATTATTAAAAAAAGGTTTAATTACCAAGATAACTACCAATTGACATCACTACCAAGATAACTATCAATTCATTAAAAAAATTCCATAAAAATTAATTTATTCTTAAATTGCACACACATGGGTGTGCCTTTAATACTAGTATATAATAAGGATAAATCTTTTATACACTGATAATATATACACTAGTGGGTCTAGATGTGTGCCACATATACAAAATTTGATATTTAAATTCAAATTCAGATGATATGGCATTCATCCAACCCCGTCAGCATATACAATGACATTGAAGATGTTTCTAAATTGGTATATATCTTGTGTTTCAAAGTTTGGTTTTGGAATTGGATATATTGTCTGTCTTGACCATTCAATGTACTGATTTTGCTGGTATCCTTACATGACAAAGAGTATCAGTAATTAATTTAATGACATGCATGTATATAAATATATATGTACCAGAAAAGAGTTTTTGGATTAATTTAGGATTAGAGTTTTTTATTTCAAAATCACTTTTAGGTTTAGCACAAATTCAAAATTAGTAATTTTGGGATAACTTTTATTCTTTAAAAAATTAAAAATAAATTTTGGCTAATTTATCATTATATGCAAAATGTTATAAAGATTACAAATATAATTTAGAATTCAAAATCATACATTATCCAACAGAAAAACACTTATGTAAGTATAACTCTAAACAACTGAATTAGATATACTTTAAAGTGTATCTAAAGTGTATACTTTAGCATAAAAAAGTTAACTTTTGCAAACGAAGTAAGATTAAACCTAATTCTTCTAGTGTTCCTTGAGAGATAATAGAAGAATGTGAAGAAAAAAAAGCTCTTGTAAATATAAACAACACGATTTGTGATAACCTACGTGCTCCCGAAAGGATCCAACTAACTATATCTTTAACATAATTTTTTTTAAAAAAAAAAAGAAGAAGGAAAACTAGCATTTGAGTTCTCATGATGAACAACAAAATGCTCTTATCATGTTATTGGCTCCGATAAAAATGAAAAAGTACTTCTACAATGGAACTGGAAGTTGATCTCTTCCTCTCAACATCCTTCTCGTAGGAAAATGACATTTTCTCTCATCACTCAAATGCCTCACAATTGGTGCTCTACATCATCATTACCTTATGAGTTTTTTTTTTTATGTGGCAAACCCCATCCACGGGGGTGGGATGCCAGCCCAACTTTTATTATAAGAAATAAGAAATACATAATGATGGACCACACGTTACCTCTAGCCTATGAGACCGATTAGACAAAGTTACCATCCGTGTTTACCCCTACGAAAACTAGGACAACCCCAACTATCTAAAGTAACATCTCCTCTAACCATGCGGGGAAGGGCCAGGATGGAATCATAAACTAACGACTCCCTAGAATCAACCCCAACCTTAGAAAGTCTATCCGCAGGTTTATTCGCCTCACAAAAGGAGTGTGAGATCTCTCTGTAGTGATGGCTATATTGCAACAATTCTTGTAACTCCCGCTGCACCACCCATGGACACTTAGCTCTCCCTTGGATAATGTTGATAAGAACCAACGAGTCAGACTCCAAATGTAAATTGGCCAGTCCCCGAGCTACTCCTAACCGCACCCCAAGGAGTAACGCCTTCATTTCTGCTTGTAAACTAGTCATCTCCCCAAAATAACAAGAAAAAGCTAACAGGAACCTCCCATCACTATCTCGGAACAGACCTCCCCCTCCACTCCTCCCAGGATTACCCCTTGAACAACCATCTGAGTTTAACTTCACCACTGCTTGCAACGGACATCTCCATCTAACCGTCAACACATTCACAGATATTCTCAACCTAGCTACCGCATCCAGGAGAGCAGGCCACGACCTAGGCATAATAACCTCCTAAAACTGAACGCCACAACTCTCGTCAAGCTCATTAACAATTCGACCACAAACTTGTGTCACAGTCGCCACCCTCCCTTCAAAGACAAACTTATTTCTCGTTTTCCATAAGTTCCAACAAATCAAGGCGGGCAGAATTCGAAACAAGAATCGAATATACGGAGTTCGACCAGATTTCAACCACCAATTAATCACCTTATGCCTTATCGTGAAAGCTTTCCCAAACCCTCCGATCGGCACTTCAAAGAAACCTCAGACCTGTCTAGCAAACTCACCAGTGCAAAAGATATGATTAATAGTTTCTTGAGAAGAACGCCAACAGCAAAAACAATGAGACGGGCTGAATACACCAAATTTATCCAGTACATCCATAACCGGCAGCCGACCATTCATCAATCGTGCTATAAAAAAGGAAATTTTCAAAGGTAAAACCCGATGCCATAAAAAGGAGAAGAGTCTAGAGTTATTACCACCCTGCCGCACCACCTGATATGCTGATGCTATAGAAAACTCACCCAAGCTAGTTGGATACCAAATCATTTTGTCCACCTGATCCGAAGAAGGTGGAGCCGCCTCCAAGACCCTCTGCACTCAACTCATAGGCAACACATCATATAACCTGTACCAATCCCAGCAACCTTGAACCACGAAATGTGCAACTGACTGTTCCTGAAAAGTTTCCACCTCTTGACATAGCGGTCCTGATCCTAACCAATTATCATGCCAAAAACTTGAATTTCCGCTCCTCAATATCCATCGTATATTCCTTTCTGCCACCACCTGAACGTCCATCACCCTCCTCTAAGTGGTAGATTGCCCTAGACACACCTCGGAATAACACGGATGCAAATTGGAATTATATTTCAAGCGCATGAACTCTGCCCATAATGATTGTTGCAGCCTGAACCTCCACCACAACTTTAGAGAAAAAGCAACAAAAACATGGTGCAACGACCGTAGACCCACACCTCACTCCCCATAAGGCTTACACAGCTGGTCCCATTTGATCCATGAACCGTGGCCCAAAATTTGAAACACCCCATAAAAAGTCTACAAAAATATTCTCCAATATCCTGATAATCCCCTTAGGAGGATTGGAAGCTGCAAGAATATGGATAGGCATTGAAAACAGCACACTCCGTATCAAGACCAACTTGCTGCCATATGATGAGAATTCTCTTTCCACGAGAGCACCCTATTAACCACTGAAGTACATACAATCGAAAAGTAACTCTTTTTCTATCTCCCAGAGTACAATGGGTACCCAAGATACTTTATTAGGAAAGGATTGTGCGTGAAAACTAGTGGTTTGTGCAATAATACTCCTTCGTACACCCAAGATATTAGCATGAGACAAAAAATAGCTCTTATTATGATTGACCTTCTATCCCAAGATCATCTCATAATCCTCTAGCGCCTTTATAATCAGCCGTAACGACTTCTTCATCCCACTAGAAAAAATAATAACATCATCTGCATAAGCTAAATGGGTAACAACCGGACACCCTAATGGAACCTTAAAAGGCACAAAACCCCGTCACCCAATCAAGAAATTTAATAGTCGAGACAAGACTTCAGCACCTATGACAAAGAGAGATGGCGAGAGCGGATTTCCTTGGCGAATAGCCCGACTAGATTTAAAAAAAACCTTAGGGCACACCATTAATAATAATTGAGAACCAAACATTCGAAATCAGCCTCCAAACCATATCTATCCAAAACTCACTAAACCCGAACCTTCTAAGCACTTGCAATAGGAAAAGCCAGGACACCCTATCGTACGCCTTGACCATGTCTAACTTTAAGACAATATTACCCCCTCGACTAGGCTTCCCTATACCCGACACTATGTCTTGAGCTAACAGAAAGTTGTCAAAAATCTGTCTACCCTTAACAAAACCACTCTGTTGAGGGGAGATAATACAAGGCAACACCTTAGCCAATCTAACAGCCAGAACTTTAGACATAACCTTATTAATAAAATTACACAAACTTATCGGCCAAAATTGACTAAAGTCTTGAGGAGCACTTACCTTTGGGATAAGCACAACCAGCGTCGCAGTAATGCTCCTCGGCACCTCAGCTCCACAGAAAAAACTGCCCACCGCTTCATAGACATCCTTGCCCACCACATCCCAAGCAAAGGAAAAGAATCTCCCTGTAAAACCATCCGACCCAGTGGCACTCTCACCATCCATCGTAAACACAACCTCTCGAACCCCCTCCAAGAAAGGAACACGCACCAGATCCTCATTTTGATTATGAGATATTACTTTAGGAATTACATCTAGTGCATCCCAAAACCCCAAGCAAGGCTCAGCCGTAAACAAGCTCGCAAAGAAGTGGGCCGCCTCTATTGCAATCTAACTCTCATTTGTTAACCAAACCCCATTGGCATCCTTAATACAATGAAATATTGACTTGGCTCTCCTCTCTGCAACTATATAGCGGAAATACTTTGTGTTCCTATTCCCATCCTGCAGCTATTTAGCTCTTGTCTTTTGCTTCCAAAATTCCTCCTCCACAAACAAAGCATTTCTAAGTACCGCTTGAGCTTCTTGCAGTGCTAACAACTTCGCTCAGAGGGATCATAGTCAAAGAGAGCTTTTGCCATTGACACCTGCTCTTCAGCAACTTGCACCGCGTCAAAAATATTTCCAAACTGCTTACGAGACAACTTTGGATATGCTTTTTAACTTGCCGCAATTTACTTCCCAACCGCTGCAACGGCAGTCCTGAGAATGACCCTTCCCACCCTCTTCGAATCACCTCCAGTGAGAATGACCCTTCCCACCCTTTACTTCTAGTTGACATCAAATTTTGGAATTTTTAAAAAACAAGGCACAACATTACCAAAGATACCAGCAAGATAAATGAATGGACTAGCCACGACATGTAGTGTTATTCCATATTTAACAAGTGCAGACAGCTTTAACTTTCAAATAGTAATAAGGGTGGCCAGAATAAATGTCATTATATTTCATCCCTGCGAAACCAGCCTGTTCAGATTGATGTGGGTAGGCCTCTCAATATCCGGTGATCTTCGATAAATATCATAATTGGCTTCATTGTCCAAAAGCATTGAAACATCTGTGTGCTCAAAGAGCGAGTGAGTGGAAAGAACACCGTTGTAAGGCTCAACAACAGCTGTTGAGACCTGGGGAGAGGGACAAATTGTGAACCCAAGTTTTGATTTCTTGCCATAGTCGACTGAAAGCCTCTCCAACAGTAAGGAACCAAGGCCAGAGCCAGTTCCACCGCCAACAGCATGAAAAACTAAGAATCCTTGTAATCCTGTGCAGTTGTGAGCTAGCTTTCTTTCTACTTCAACATTTATAGATAAATTTTTCTCAACGTTTGAATTTCGTAGTATTTTCTTTCTAATAGTTTTTACTAAGTTAAAATGTAACACGATATTTTTAATTTTTCTTTTAGAAAAACACAAAAAGCCTCTAAAAAAAGATCCCGTGCAAATGCTATGATATTACTACCATCAAATCCACCACTTGGATTTTTACACACACTAATTTATGATGATAAAAATGCAACTTTTGCAAATTCAATGATATTTATCCATGCTGATCTAAGTATTTGTTGTGATAAATGTCCTTTTGATTTCTTTTGAGGTGGTTGGTGGGTTGGAGGTTTTTTTTGTGGAATTTTGGATTAATTATTTCCTCTCTCTCTCACACACACACACACACAAGTGATATATACACTATGACACAGTCACATATAGAGTCAAAATCAATTTTAAAACACGTGTATGACATGCATGAGAAAATTGTGTTATTTCAATTAAAAAATAATAAGTAAATCCAAGAAAATAGTGAGAATGGGAGGATAGACATCGAGTTGGAAAGAAGAACAAAATTTGCTTTAAATGAAAAAAATGGCCATGTGAGAATAGACATCGTGGCAAGAAGAACAAAATTTGCTTCAATTGCGTGATGACAAAAGCAGTCGAGGAAAAGATGGATAACCATTGAAGATCGGTGAGATGAGCTAGTTATAAATTAACTCTATTGAAGCAGATTCCAAGGATGATTTCTTACATATATCCAAGTCTCTGAATCTACGGTGGGTTATAGATCCAAGTGGTACATTCTTGTACGTTGATTGATCTTACAAATTCTTTTTTTACATGCAACTATAATACATTTGCTCAAATCTTGGTTCAAAGTCGCGAACGTGGTCCGAACAGTTCTATATCGGTTTCGGCATATCGATCGCTGTCTCGTCGATCGAGATGCAAATTTTTGAAATATTTAATATTTTAAAAAATATAAAAAATATGATAAACAAAAATAATAAAAATTCGAGTTGATTTGGAAGGATTTGGCCATTTCTATTTCGTCTCGATCAAGTTTTCAGCGATTTATTATCTCGGAGTCATCTCGTCCCGATATCGGATCGGGAAACCCCGTTCTAGTAACGACTCGACTGAGTCTTTGAACCATGGCTCAAATGCGCTGTTTGTAATCTCTGCAACTGATAGTTGCTCATGGTGTGCCTTTTCTGAAGAAATAACAGGTGCATAGGAGGAATGCATGAAATGGATGCGTGGGTATGGCACCAAGTTTGTTTGGAATTCAGTAACATCCACGTTAAGAGCACCATCAAAGCGAAGAGATGCTGTCAAGGAGGAGATCACCTGCATGCAAAAGACAGATTATGCTCGAAGACATCCATCAATCAGGGATCTTTGTTGGTCAGCTGATCTATTTCCCCATTTGATATCCATTTCTTCTTCTAGTTGACATCAAATTCTAGAATTTTCAAAAAACAAGGCACAACATTACCAAAGATACCAGCAAGATAAATGAATGGACTAGCCCCGACATGTAGTGTTATTCCATATTTAACAAGTGCAGACAGCTTTAACTTTCAAATAGTAATAAGGGTGGCCAGAATAAATGTCATTATATTTCATACCTGTGAAACCAGCCGGTTCAGATTGATGTGGGTAGGCCTCTCAATATCCAGTGATCTTCGACAAATATCACAATTGGCTTCATTGTCCAAAAGCATTGAAACATCTGTGTGCTCAAGGAGCGAGTGAGTGGAAAGAACACCGTTGTATTTCTCAACATTTATAGATAAATTTTTCTCAACGTTTGAATTTCGTAGTATTTTCTTTCTAATAGTTTTTACTAAGTTAAAATGTAACACGATATTTTTAATTTTTCTTTTAGAAAAACACAAAAAGCCTCTAAGAAAAGATCCAGTGCAGCTGCTATGATATTACTACCATCAAATCCACCACTTGGATTTTTACACACACTAATTTGGATATTTATCCATGCTGATCTAAGTATTTGTTGTGATACATGTCCTTTTGATTTCTTTTAAGGTGGTTGGTGGGTTGGAGGTTGTTTTTTTGTGGAATCTTGGATTAATTATTTCCTCTCTCTCTCACACACACAAGTGATATATACACTATGACATAGTCACATATAGAGTCAGAATCAATTTTTAAACACCTGTATGACATGCATGAGAAAATTGTGTTATTTCAATTAAAAAATAATAAGTAAATCCAAGAAGATAGTGAGAATGGGAGGATAGACATCGAGTTGGAAAGAAGAACAAAATTTGCTTCAATTGCATGATGACAAAAGCAGTGGAGGACAAGATAGATAACCACTGAAGATCGGTGAGATGAGTTAGTCAAAAATTAACTTTATTGAAGCAGATTCCAAGGATGATTTCTTACATAGATCCAAGTCACTCAATTTACGGTAGGTTATAGATCCAAGTAGTACATTCTTGTACATTGACTGATCTTACAATTTTTTTTTTACATGCAACTATAATACATTTGCAAGAAAATGATCCCTAGGCGTAATTTAGGTTGTGCAAAACACTCTCAAGACTTTAAAATTTTTGTGATAGCACCATTGACACCATAATTTTAGTAGTTATCACATATGAATGTTTAAATTGTTATTTGCATTGTCTAATATCTGTATCTATACTATATATAAAAGGAGAGGAGAGGGTTGGTGTAAACATTTTGTGTTACTTTATGTTATACCAAAAGCACCCTTTAAAGTTAGTTTTCAAACTATTCACATTTCCTTTTTTTTTCCACCATAATTTCAATACAATAACTTCTTCCAATGTCAAACTATTCAGATTCTCTCTTTTTCTCCACCATAATCCCAAATACAATAAATTGCTCTAAAAAATTGTAATTACAGATTTTCCAAATAAACAAATACACGTGTACCATGAAATGTAATAACTTAATATGATGGGAAAAATAATCATATATTTTTTTACAATAAACACACATTTAAGGAGTGCCAAAAGCACTAGTTTTAAAAAAGTATGTGATTGCTAACAAAATAAGAAGTGAATAATTTAAATATTCAAGCATATGAGAAATACACGGTTAGGAAAATTGATATTTGAGAATCATCTGTAACAATAAAAGATTTTCTATTTTCCTACACAAATTATAAGAAAACGTTTACATGCACACAATAATTTATGTGTGTAGTAACCTAAATATCATGATTAACTAAAGTGGAATTTGTAATTTTTATCAGAATAAGCAATTAGAAATTATAACATCTTACAATAATATATATAAACTCAATAGAACAGTTTATATATATATATAATTAACACGTGGTATTAGCCCCAATCATTGAGATGTTCATCTAGCCTCTGATTGCATATATACAACAGCTGATTAAACCACTAAATGTGAACTTGGCAATTGCCAATCAGTGGAACTGTGAAACTTGTTGGTACTTTAATCAGAAGGAGAAAGGATATGTTTATCACTAGCTTTACCATATTTGAAGGATGACAATATAGAAGCAAGAAAATACATAGAACAAAAGAAACCAGGCAATTTCAACTTTTCTACATCAAATTAAGACATTAAAGGAAATCAGAATTGTCTATTTGCATAGCATATTCCATTCTGTTTATTGAAGTTTTACAATATTTCACAGCTAAAAGATGCACCTAGTGCTCTACATTATTTGTCTATGCCTCTTGAATCTCTTTCAAGCTCTTTTGACTAGCCAAATTTTATCTAAACATCAAATTAACAAGCTAGATGAAAGTAAACATGTAAACTATGAGTTGTTGCCAAATCAGGACACCTCAGCAACCCATCACAGCGCAATTATACACAAAACTTCCTAAATGCTTTGTTCCCAACAATGTCCACTCTAGGGGACCTTCATCTGGCTTCCAAGCATTGATTTCTATGTACCCTCCATTCAATGCCCTTGGTCCACCGATAACCATTAGTTGATTACCACAGGCCCTGAATGCCAGCCCTCAGCCATTCATGGAGGTTGCCTGTTCAGGTAGTTGCATATAACTCATTCTTCACCATTGCGAGCAGAGGAGGTGCTCTTGCTATTGCAGGAGAATCATTAGTACCCTCTCTAGCACATTGAGGGTACATATCAGGAATTTCAAACTAGGTTCCTGTCCTCAAATCATATACCTCTCCACAAGTAAACACCTTTAAGCTGGCTCCATCGCTTGCACTTGGGTTGCCTATTCCGATATCACCGATGACATAAAACTTGCCATCTATAAATATCCCTGAACATAGTTTTCTGGGTTTATGCATTCTGGGGAGAATGCACCAACTTTCTGTCATTGAGTTATAAAGTTTAGTAGAGCTCAGTAAATTGCCTTTTGAGTCGCAACCACCAGCCACGATCGCAATCTCTCCAAGACTAGCAGAGCCAAACAGCCATCTTGGGATGTTTGTCCTTACGCCAGACGACCATGTATTGGTTAATATGCTATATTTGTAGATCACTTTAAAGGAAACACTCGTTTGAAATAATTTTAGGCAAAGACATCCATCTATGGCGCAAAGGATCAAAAGCTTCCCATTCAAGAAGGCTGCAAGAAACATAGACCCAATGTTCTACAATACCCAGCTGCCTTCTCAACTTATAAAGATCCCCACTTCTGATTAGAGACCTGAAACTCCGATTGAGTGAAGCGATAGTGCCATAATCTGCCCTCAAGCAGCGAAGTAAGCAATTAATTGAGAGATCTTGGCCAAGTTGGAGGATGAGTGAACTTGTATCAGTAGAATACCCATAGTGGCCTTGGTCATCTTCTTGATCCATAGCTTACCCTTGGAATGCCAGCGGCTTGGATGGTTTTATCACTCCAGTCTCTTCCTCGAGGTGCTTTCGCTTTGAGTTCCCTCTCTTGGGGCACTTTTGCTTTGAGCCTTGACCTCGGAATGCCAGTCGCTTGGATGATTTCATCACTCCAGTCTCTTTCTCGGGATGCTGTAGCTTTAAGTTCTCTCCCTCGGGCCCTTTCGCTTTAGGTTCTCGATAGTAGAATAAGTATTAAAAACCCACTTGCTCTCTTCTTCACAGGCACTTGGCAAGTCACGAGAGATAAGAAATGATGGCCCCTCTAATATGATGGCGGAAAGAGTGAGAAATCTGAGAACTAAACTGGTCCAACAAAGTTAAGCCTAAAGACATCAGTCCAGGCGATATTAGTTAATGCTACAATCTAGAAAATAAAGAAGCAAATGAATACCTAAACAGTTCAGCCATAAATATATGATCTTTATTGAAGATTGGAATAATTACAATCTATATCTCTCTTTGATATGCTAAGAAGAGCAAATTCCATAACCATAAGACATCTAAAATAGGGAGTAACAAAGTGGATGTAATTGGTTAGGCATTACATTTAAAAAGCGAATCAGACCCTCTATGAGAAAACCGTGCAACGCATCATGAAATGCATGATTAGAGGAAAAAGTTTCCCAAACAGTCAGTTAAAATCCAAAACTCAATTTTGAAGTCATTGATTGTTGGAGCAGTTCTACATTTGCAAGGAAACAATTGAGTGTAAACTGAACAACAAGGGCATGAACACACATCTTGATACAAGCACAAACAAGTGTTGACAATACTAGCATGTTTAGCTCAGAGATGACTAGCTCCAAGTGCCAATCTAGATCTCTTTGCCATCGTCAATACCAAACACTTTTCCAAATCATCAAAAAAAAAAATTGGAGTTGAATGGGTAGAAACATGGTTATTTAGAGTTGAGTAAATAAAACAACAAACTCTAGAATCAACTGTGGATGACAGTGAATGCCAGCCGAAAAGATCCAGTTATGAATAAGAATAAATTCCTTGAATTGGAAAATGTTTTTGTATTTCCAAAAAAGAAAGGAAAGAAAGATTTAAATTCCATGAAATAAATTCCAAATGTCGAAATCAACAGAAAGGATCTTATACATTGAAAAGAGCCACCGATGAATAAGAATAAATTCCTGAATTCGAAAATGATTTTGTACTTCTAGGGGGAAAATATTTTCATTTAGATTCCATAAAACTAATCAAAATTTGGAAAACAACAAAAAGAATCTTCTACATTACTAATATAGACCAATCACCATAAACTCACAAAAGTGAGAAATCCATCCCTTCAAACTCAATCTGGAAAAGGGTTGAACTCCTAATATTTAAACAAAATTTAAATCAAAACAAGGATAAGGATTCAATATTAAATCCGAAACCAAATTAAAACCTGCATGCATGTACGGTAAAAGCCAATTCAATTCAACATGCCCCTGCAAGAGAAATTCAGACTAAAATCAGACCACCGAATGCCAATCCTAGAAGCAATTATAGCAACACCCAATTAAGGGGATAAAAAGCAAATACTCAGAAATGAAAAAACAATGACAAATCTAATTGTGATAACTAGAAGTCAAGAGAACACCTTTGAAAAATCCTACCAATCAAAAAAATAAAAAAATAGTGATACATGCAATAGGAAAATAAAAAAGAATTAACATTGACATAAATTTGAAATAAAAGATTGATCATTATACATGAATTGCCCTCAATGGTCAGAATCTTTGCATGCATTCCCTTCAAAATATAACCTAAAGTGAAAAAGGGAAAAGAACTCCTTAGGAATTATCTCATAACAAGAAAAACCTAAAAAACCCAACCAGATAACTTACAGAGTAATCCGAGCATAGTCTTTCATTGTAACTACCAAAAAGAACAAATTTCTGCTAAAAAACAGAGAAAGAAAAATGAATCGGTAGCTAAATTATTTCATCAGGGCCACTTTGGAAACTTCTTTTATTTGCATTTGGAGCCCTCTCAAATCTAAACTACAACAAAAAAACAGTTCTCTCTTAACTGTGATGAGAACTGAGGAGTGAGAAGGAGGAAGAAGAGTTGGATTTTTTATTGGATGAGTTGAATATTGGCTAGAAGTAGCAGTATTTGTAGTAGTGAACCAACGGGAAGAGGGAGACGACGGCAACTTGGGAAATGAGATGGTTGTGATAGCAAGGGGTTAAGATTTAATGGATTTAATGGCCGTCATTTGCACGTGTGAGCATTTATTTTTCGAAATGGTTGTTGCCTTTGGGACAGTTTTTCCTTACCAAACTCCAAAAGAGTTCCATTCTCTGTATGGCTCTTCATTTTGTAACATTCCTTCTACACCCGAGCAACACACTATAATTTCCACTTTCCTCTTTATTTTTTCTTTTGAGTGGATTTGATGTTCATTAGAGTGATCCTAATATGATTTCTTTCCAATCCGATTACGTTGGTACCAAAATATACACGTTTCCTAATTTAGAAATCTATTTTCCTATATGAGAATTATGATTAAGGCTTTTGAAGGATTATAATGTATTTGGCATGTATGGTCTTATGGTTTTAATTATTTACAAAAATTTCCCTATGTGCTATATTCATTTAACTAGTTGTGGTTATACAATATGAAC